TCCTGTGGTACATATTTTATAAAGGAAATGAGTCGTCTGGCTCTTGGACTGAAATATAACTCTTAAATTCCCAGACTAAGTAAAACTACAGAGAAGAACAAACTTGTAAAGAAACGCTTAAAAAATTGAATTAAACTTTACATTTAATGAAAGTATTTTCCTAAAACTTGACATATTTCGCTTTACGTATTTCACTTCCCATGGAGAGGAGAACTGGGCTCTGCCATTCCATTCAGTCCAGAGACCATCTGTCTAAATGTTAACGGTCGCATGCCCATTCCATTACATTTATACATTCGCATTCCACTGCCGAATGCCATGTCCCCATTTGCTCTTCAAATAACTATTAATCTCTTTACACTTATCCCCATGCTGACAAGAGCAGCTGTTTGTCTCGCCTTCTCTCCCTTCTGGCTTCTACAGCTCCTATTCCTCTCCTCTCCTTCATCTCCAACTTCCCCTCTTGACAGGTATGGCAAAACTGCAGGTAAGACAACTAGGGAAGAAAAAAATTAAAACCTGAGGCGTGTTCAAATGCGTCCACACTCCTGGCTAAATTAAAGCTGTTAGGATTCCGAGCCCGCGGCAACTGCCTAGGAAGGGGATTGAAAAGATATTATTTGTGTTCAAGTTAAGGGTCAATATACAAAGCACTCCTGAACGTCCTTGTAGGAATCAGATAATGCTCCCAGAGGCACGTGCTTCCCTACAGCAGTACAATTAGAGAGGCAGCGGTCCCTGACAAAAAGGACAAAGAAACTTGGAGGAGCACTTTCACACTGGCAGTGAAATGCCTGTTGGGCCACCCTTTTACTCCTCCTTCTAACTACACAGAATGGAACTTCAGCTAATTGTAGGCTTGGATAAGAACAAAGAAACAAGGCCCTTTTGAAATTTTTTTCAATATATGTAAAGAGAGAAGTTTTGGGATCCAGGTTTAAAAGCCAGTGAGCAAACACTCAGCGCTTCTTGAAGGACTTAAGAGAAATGAAAACTCCATTTACCTTGGAAGCACAACGGAGACCCCTGGGCTGAACACTTTGGGTGGACCAAAGAAGCAGAAAGTATATTCCCAAAGTCATTAATAGCCCTGTTGGTGATGATGGGTTTGCTTTCGAATGCCATCATTTTTAATTCCATACAGTTCTAGGTGAAATTTTTTACTTAACAACAACAGTATTTGCTTCCAAAGCTAATGCCTCAATTTATAACTTAAAGCTTTCTCAGGTTTGAGCAAAAAAGCTGTTTACTATCCAAGAAAAAAATGGCAAAACATATTTCAATTTAAAATTTTTCTAAATTTTACTTTAAATAAACAGAAGCCAAGTAGTATACTCAACCATCTTAAAAAATAAAAGTGCATAAAACCAACACTACTAACTTTAAAATAATTAGCCTAAAACACAAACAACAAACCCACTAAAGAAAGAACTGTAGTATTGGAAATCTACTTGGACTTTCTACAGCTTTACTAAAAATCAGTGTCATAAACCTGCCATAGTAAACAGTTCTTTAGTACTTAATTTAAAAAAAAACATTTAGTTAACAACAACAGAAGTTTCTTATTTGCTTATTTCTTTGATTTGAAGTGAGAGTGGAATGTTGACAGCGTACGATTGGAGGCAAGGGCAGACCAGAATAGCCACGAAGAACAAGTATTACATAGGCAGGAGCTGAAAAATAATTTGTAGGGCTCGTTGCAGAATGAAAATACAGGGCCTGTTGTTCATAAATTATTAAGAGTTCCAAAATGCTGATAGCAGAGATTTAAACAAAGTATAGGACTCTTCATGATGGCATACTCTGCATGCCTGTGAAGCTAGATTCTGTGCCAGATTTATGTGAATAATATTTATCCTTTATTTTCCACTGAAATGAAGCTGGTGGAATGAAGAGAGCAGTATTGTTCCCCTTCTTTACTGTCAAAAATTTCATAAATACAGAGGGGAGAAACCTGCGTTATACTGGGATGCTAATTTAATGCCTATTTCAAATAAAAACATGACACTTTCCTATAAGTCACAAAAACTGTCCTTGGAAGAACTCTCCAGGGGTTCCATATATCCCACGTGTTTCTTACGTAACAAAAGTATTAAAACATTTGAAATGAAACAGGAAGTAAATTGTCCCTTTCTAACCACAAGGTATCTTGATCTCAGAATAGCCTTAATATATTCTACAGTAAATGAATGAATGAATGAATGAATGAAAAATGTTTTATATCCATCTTCTCACAACTGAAAAAGGAAAGTCTTCTTTCCACAAAATGTAATAGGCAAACATAAATACAATTTGTCTGATATCTGCTGTAAGCCTGATAAACAATCAATTTCCTCTGAATTCAAACAGATGCTTCATTTCCTATAAAATAACTTTGAAATAGAAGACTAACAGACTGGACTCAGAAAAATAGCCAATATCTGTAGCTGAAATATATTAAAGTTCATAATAGATGAGCTGATCTGACCACATAAAAGATGAAACACACCTTAGTCACAGAGACTTAGTATATTCCAGATAATTACAGAACAGCCCAGGGGGTTTCTGAAACATGAAGCTGGTGTGATAAGTATAGGGATACCCAGGGGCTGAATCTCACACTGTTTGCTTTCATCATTAAGAAAAAAAACAAACAAATATAACTACCATTGCCAAATCTAAGAAGAGTATTTTCTTATTATTTTGTCTTTTTCTCCCCCATAAGTCATTTTTCATTCTGATAGCCATCCACGGACTCTGATTTATTTCTTCACTAAAATTCAATTTAGATGCTTAGAATTAAAATAACAAGATATATATTTTTTAAAAAAGCAATATAGAAGATTCGATCTTCCCTGACTGGTCACTGCTTTAAAATTGTCCTATAAATGCAATCCTTTTAGTTTTATTTTATTTTTCTTTCCTGGATTCATCGTTTAATGATCTGAAATTCTGCACATATTGTGGGCCTGAATTTTCATCATCTCAGAAATAATGTATCAGTATATATTGCTGTAAACAAAATTTAGTGTTGAATACCTGGGTTTATACTTATTTAAGGTTGATGGTGCACTTACCTTCCTACAAAAGAATTTAACACCAGAAAAGGATTCCATTCAAGTCATTTGACCAGTATAATGGAAACAGGGACTTAGTTATAATTTATGTTTCTTAAAATCTCAGTCCTCTAATTTATCTGTATAAGGGAAATTTTACAAGTTCTCTTTCCCAGACATTACTATCTGTAATAGCTGATTTATGACAACATGGCAATGATAGCCAGCAATGTATGGCAAGAGGTTAATAAAAAAAAGGAATAAAAGCCAAATCAGGGATAGGAGAGGTTACTCTTGGGATATAGAATCATAATTTATTTACCACAATTTAAATGTTCCCTTGCCACAGAAAATAATAACTTGCCCAAATTTCACTTGGAGGAAATATTTATAACCCTTGACTGACTGCTGATGAGACTAGGGACTTGAACATTCTTTAACACTCCTAACATTCCTTAATGGATCCTAGTCATGCAAAAGAACTCTGAACTTAGACTTGGTGATGTGGGGTCTAAGTCTCACACTAATACTGATGTGCTGTATACCCCTGGGCAAAGAACTTGAACAACTTGCATCTTAGTTTCCCATAGGGAGATTGATTCTGATCATCAAAATATGAAGGTGAGACAATTCTAACATTCTGGTAGATATGACCATCCTCATCCTCAAAGCTCTTTAAAAATGCCATGAGATTGCTTTAAAAAAAAAAAATGACTTTTTTCTTTAAGCCTAGAAATTTAAAATGTTTCACGCAGCATATATAGTTTCCTCAGCTGATATAACCTTTCACCTCAGAC